TGATGAGCGACGCTGATGTGGAGAACTCAGGCTGATGAATTCGACACTAGATCTGATCGGATCCTATACAAAACCCGTTGGAATCCGATAGGATTTAGCAAAGTACTGAAGGATCCTGTAAGATTTCGTTGGAATTCGAGTGACGAAAGTACTCTCGGATATTTCCGGTCGCTTATGATCGAATTTTGTCGGAGACCAAGAGAAATTCAACAAAAGCTCCATTATCAGGATGCGTGAATAGTTTTGTCACTCGGATTCCTATCGAATATTGTCGAATGGTCAGATCTGTTATCGAATTTATTCACTTGGAATCACATCTTTTCATAAAAGCTTCATTCTACCTATGTTAAAAAATTCTTGTTACTCCGAGAAAAGTTGACAATCCAGACATATAAAATTAGAAGGGGATCATAAACAGGAATGAAACTAGCACTGGTTAACGGTCAGTTACTAGTCTGTCAATGACTGGCCGACCTATCTTATTTAATTTTCTGCTTCTATCATATCTAACTTCTTCCTTACTCAATACTTTCTATTCTACTTATTCAGTATTTTTGACTGATGCAGTATTTCTTATAATAATCAGCTTCTTTTCTAGAGTTCTTCGAATCTATTGAAAAATTCTACAGAAACATGTACCAATACATCTGGTATTATATCATAGCTACTTTGATATGGCTTCCAGGTTTAACAGCTTTATTGATACTGTTTGGCTCATGGGAATACATTACAGTTGCTGTTACCATATATGGCTCTATGGTTTTGATTGCATATATCTTGCGCATCATTTCAACGAAAAATATGATCAACGCATTCAACCGTTTTTTACTTAACGTGTTTGTCACATGGCATGCTTTCGGAAATACTGAAACATGGCTGAATAGTAACGAAGATTATACGAGCAATACGATCATTGCATGTCATCCACATGGACGGTGGCCATTTAACCTTATTTCTCAGCTTTGCCATCCTCGTCTTGCTAATATATGTATGGCAACTCATACTGGTTCCTTTTTTGTGCCCGCAAATGCTATCGTTATGGCTCTCTTGGGAAAACATAGATCTACGACGGCAAGCAAAATAAATATCATCAAAAAACTTCAAAAAGTACCCGTAGCTATTGTTCCTGGTGGGGCTCATGAATCAATGTTATGCAATCCCAATGAGAAAAATGTTATTCGCTTATATACAAAACACATTGGATTTTTAAAATTGGCAATGGCAAATAAATCCAAGGTGGTGCCTTGTTTCACTTTTGCGACACAATTTGAGTACAATAACATATTACGCCTCGTAGATTCTTTTTTATTTGATACAATAGGTGTTCCTCTGAATTTTTTAATTCCGATGCGAAAGGTAGCACCGCTTCTTGTTATGGGTAAGACCTTGAATTCATGGGAATTCACATCTTTGGATGAACTCAAAAGTGCATACTTTAACGAACTCAAATGTATTTTTGAAGAAAATAAAAAAAATGCTCGTGGATTTGAGAAGGCGGCCTTGGAATTTGTCGAAGAAAATGGCAGTAAATCATATAAAGTAAATTTTACTGTACGTTGTGTGACCTTGCTTGGCGTGATATATATTTTAAAGCAAATGTTAACTATCTGGAAATATAACCAGTGGTTCTTATATTATATGGCGCCTACCCTACCGAATACTAGCATAATGATATTACATGTTCATGCAATATCTTCATTAACATTTTGGCTGCTATGTTACGTTCAAGTATTTGCAGACAGTATGAAGTATCACAGAATGATTGGAAAATTCTTATTCTATTTGTGGTTTGCAGTATGCATACCAACTGGTCTATATCTTGCATGGGACGCATGGAATACGCAGGAATGTATTACTTTGAAAGCGCTAGTGTGCTTAAATTTTATGGAAGTTCTTTGGAACGTATGCTACATGCTCGTCAAAGGAGTTTTCATATTTAAGAGAACAGACAAAACTTTAGCTGCAAAACTTTCTGCCCACAAAACATACATGAGAAAAACATTGATAATTTCGCACATTATACTCTATCCACGCATACTTTTCTCTATTATTAAACTATTTATTGTTATGAATAACATTAATTTTATGTATGGTATTGTTAATGGTGTTCTTACAATGCCACTGCTTCTATGGTTAACTATAAACCAGACTAAAAAATATTTCAGCAGTTTCTTGATAATATTCATCCGGTGGATAGTATGGATGAGTCTTCCATTGATAATTTTCAAATAAATTGTTTAGACCATCATTTAATTAGTCAGATATATATATGAAACAATTAGTAGACAAATACTAATGAAATCAATGAAATAAGTGAATGGCCGGTAGAATACATGAACGGTGAAAGTAAGAGTTAATCAATCGATTAATAAACAAATTCATTTAAATTTTCTTCACTATAGTTCAGCTTACTGGTCGCAATTTTTACTTCTCGGAATGAAAAATTGTTAAGTATTTCAATGCTTTCCAGTTGAGATATAGTGTATCTTGCAGATCTTGATGAACTACATGTATCATCGAAAGACTTAGTACCGATGACTTTATCGGATCAGAATTCATTATGAAATCTATCTAAGAAATTTACTTCTTAAATTCTGTACCAAGTATGGATGAGGATATGTATGTGAAAGAAGTCATGCGTAAGATTTTGTGTACGGGTGTGTCTGTACGAACGTCGATATCTCTTCTGTTCAACCACATCCACTCTTGCCAACTCTTTTACATATTGTTTTGAAAAATATGTTCGCTCAAAACTAATCTTCATCACGACAGAATGATTGACTCATGTAATTGTAAACTAATGAATCGATAACTGAAAGATATTAGTTTCGGTGTGGATATTATATCCATCTATCAATCTCCCACATCCATACCCATACACACACCCTCACACAAACCCGCACCCACATCCAAATCCACACTCATATTCGCATACCACATTCACACCCACACCGCTACTCCCACCAACCCGCACCCACATCCACACCCACACCCACCCTCAACGCAGTAAAACGAGTTTCCTGTTTGTCGCGTAAAACTGCGTGAAAATTGGCAAAATAGCGTAAAAATGCTGACTAATATTTAACGAAGAAAAACGCATTTTATATGGTACGTGCAGTGTTGCCACCTCTTCTGCTTTTAGCAGAAAAATTCTGCTTTTTGAGGATTTTTCTGCTTTCTTTCTGTCCTTTCTGCTTTTTAAAGATTTTTCTGCTTTTTTAAATATTAGATTATTCATGTTTGTCATGAATAGTTCCCATCTAAACGATTATTTTTCGAGTCTAAAAAGATAAACTTTTACCAACAATCATTCATGGTACTATTTTCTTTTAGTTTAACTTCAATTACATATAGCTTTTGTTTTTTAGCGGTCTCCTGTTTTTCTTGTTTCCCTTTAACCCTTGCAGTCCTAACAGTTTCTAGCGTTGTGCATAAAAACGAAAAACATGAAAGTCTCTATTGCATACAATCAGTTGTATCTGAACTAATGTGATTTATAAGACATAAGACTCGAGAAAAGGCTGCTGCTATTAGAACTACCACGTGTGATAACTAGGTTAAACACTAAACGATATTCGTCTTCCAAAACGACAGAACGAGGATAATACTTTTCGCGTTCTTTATGTCATCTATGAGGTGAAATTTTAAAATTAAAGGGTTAATAAAGATTCAAACTAAATCTGTAATTTTAGATTATTATGTTAAATCTAACAAGGGACCACTCTCCGGTGCTGATTCGCTTTTGAGTTAGCGCTTAAAATAAGTGTTAAAGTCTGTTTACGTAAGAAACATGATTTCTGCCTTTTCTTCTGCTTTTCGATGGTGAAATTTCTGTCATTTTCTGCTTTTCATAGTTTTTTTTCTGCTTTTTGTACTTCAAAAGGTGGCAACACTGGGTACGTGAAAAAACGCGATTTTTCAGACTTTTGCCTGCTAGAATAGGCCTCAAAATATGATAGTGGATGAAGGAAAAGTTTACGAAAGTCAACATCGGTGTAAAGGCCTATGCATCATCTGTTAAGTATATAAAAGGTGCATCTCTACCGTTGTTGAACTCCGTACGACACAGTGGACAAGTTCTGTTGCGCTCTGTGTCAAACCACCTCTTTAAACAGGCTTCATGGTACACATGACAGCATAGTGTTATTACAGGTTTCTTTTTTTCTGTAAGATCTTCTGTGCAGATTGAACATTCTCCGAAATAATCGTGGTATTTATTTCGTGGCATTGCGGCAGACACTGCTTTAGCAAAGGTCTTGATTTCGCTGGCGATATTAGATGAGCTTCGAAATGGCGATAGGTGGTGCATGACGTTCATAAATCGTGATATGAGTCCAATCTTTTGCAATTTGAAATATTCGTGGTGAGAATTTTGATCTATGTCTTGCTTGATCCGACACAGAAACTCCTGACGTCTTGTATACAAAAAACCTTCCATCGTTTCATCTTCATCTGTTCTATTATCACCAAATATAATTGTCTTCATACCTTGTACAATTTTGATAAAATCCTTATCTTCCGTGTTTTTACTTATATATTCTTCTTTTGTCATATTCTGATACTTGCAGTCAGTAAATATGATTGACGTCCATGTCAAGACGCCCTTACCAAACATTTCGATGATCATGTCAATATACTTGCGCACGTCTGCAGGTACTCGGCCGTATCTTAGACATAAATAAAACTTATTATAGCCGATCGAAGCTTGTGATATAATTGATTTCACTGCATCTAGGATATCCATATTCTTAAAACGATTGTCTCCAAATCCAATCGTATCTGTATAAGCATAATGCGGAAGATCATAGTACGTACCGAAAAACGCAGTTTTTCCGGCAGAACAATCATCCGCTCCGGCCGGCTGTGTCATATGATAGCGCTTAGTATCATTGTTTACTAAAATATTTATTAGAGTTGATTTACCAGTACCTGTAGGCCCGAGAAATAAAACACGCCGCATTGGACGGGATGGATCAGTGGGGGGTTGATTGACCGTTGGAATGGGCATTGATATCACAGGTCTTGGTAGTACGGGATCTGGCATCGCTGGTCTTGTTACCACATGTCTTGGCACCACGGAATCCGGCTCCGCGGGTCTTGATACCACGGGTCTTGATACCACGGGTCTTGATACCACGGGTCTTATTATCACAGGGTCTGGCTCCGTGGGTCTTGATACCACGGGTCTTATTATCACAGGCTCTGGTGCCGTGGGTCTTGATATCATGGGTCTTATTATCACAGGCCTTGGTATCACGGGTCTCGGCAAAGATTCCACAAGACTCGGAGGAGGACTTTGGTGTTCTGCTATTGGTCTAAAGCATTGATTGCATTGTCCTGGTTTGAATGCATGCTGTGTAAAATTCGAGCAAGCCGACATTGTTACCTAGAATCTATAAAGAAACAGGATATATGTACTTATAGCAATATTCTTCCACAAAAGTGTTTGTAAATGTAAAGATAGATGTTTTTAAGTGAAAATCATTGGTAGATAATTATGTTGAGTGTGAGTGTAAGTGTGGGTATGAAATGAATATAATATCTACACTCACGGCCACACCCACAGCGGCTCCACACCTTCTATCTTCATAGAGCATTCAGGTATAAGGCAGGTCAACAGTCAGCGATAATAAACATGTATCGCTATTATATAAATGATGGATAGAAGAACAAGTCAATTAAACATCAGCTTGTTAAAGATGTTCTTGAAAGAGAAGTCCTAAAAGTGAGTATCAGTATCGATTTTATCTCACTGTTTCCATCTTAGGCTCACCCACAACTATTTTTTTACGCTAACACTTATTATATGCAAGTAATTGATATCATACACAACCGCATGGTTTTTGATGGGAACCAAATCAGACTGCTCAGCATTATATCGCTCTACTATCCGTTATGATGTTCTTCAGATAGAAAGCTGAAGGTTTGCATATTCTTAAGCCTAATTCAGATCCGAACTTGACGTTTCTGAGTGTATAATTAAACAAAAGAGGAAGGTTTCATTGATTTCTGAGTTGTTGGGAAGAAAGAAAGTCGATATAAATTTTTTTTTGCTGTCTTTCTTACCAGAATTTTATTCTACTTTAAAGCTCTATACAAATTCGATCTAAAGTTAAGTGTGCATAAGAACTCGAGTGTGAAAGGACTCGTAGTTGCCTACCTGCACGGCGCTACAGAACATATCAACTTTCTACAGAATTTTGAGCTCATAGGAAAGTTATTGAAAAGACTATGGGCTTCAATGAAGATCCATCCATTTCTTGACTGACAACAATCAACTATTGATTATAAGAAGTGAATATACATCATAATCAATAATGTTCCACAAACTAGATCATAGACTTCAAATTATTTTCAACTATTCAAACCCTTAAGCGACCATATTGCTAGAATACAGATAAATTGCTGTGTATGAGTTCTTGTTCAAGAAACGATGACCTCGCTGAAAAACAATTGGAGTACTACTGAATTTTTGTAATTAAATAAAACTTTTCAACTATATTTTTCATATTGACGACAGTTCTCGACCTTTTTCCTTCTCACGCAAGTTTACTCTATTTTGATTGAAATTTACAATTTCTCTGTAAAAGAACACATACACAGTATGTTGTTTTCGCTAAAATGAGATTTTGATAAGAATTACAGCATATTTCTTTTAAAACTTGTCTTAGCAGCATTCCAGTGAATTTCTTATGTCAGTTGTTATTTTTTTACTTACCTTGTAAGAATTCAAAAATTTGTGCAAAGTGTAAATGAATTTCGGTTTCTTTGTATTTGATAACGATAAGAAATGCGACGCAGAAAAAAAACCACCTATCACGTCGTGAGGTGACGAAAAAAAGTAACGAAAATATCTTTATTAAATATTTTTCTTTACTATGCAAGCAGAGAAGAAAAAAACAAACAAATGGCTACAACAAAAAAAGCTGAATAGAGGGAATCACACACTAGAACCGAACAGAAATATATATGAGGTGTGGATGTCGGATGTGCGTCAGCCCTTAGTCCTTCTCTCATACTCACACGCACATTCACATCCTTGTGTTTTTTATTAAGACAGTCTTCAGTTTTTTCCAGAAATCATTATGATATATATATATGTAAAATAATGCACAGACCGGAACAGGCAGACAAAGTCTACTTCTTTTAGGCCTGTTTAGATCTCTATTGACGATATAAGCTGCGTTAAAGAAATAGAAAATTAAGAAATATTCAATTCTCTATTGCATTGAAATAAAAACAAGGATAATAAACGAAGTAGCAACAAATATAAGCTAGATGTAAGAGAAAGACAATACAACTACACCCTTCTACAACAATATAAAATTTCTATAATTTCTTACGATCCAAACATTTCCTTTTTACAGTTCAACTTTGGACAGTGTATTTCTCGATATTTTTACTTTTCGACATTATTTAGGTGATTTATTTCTAGAAAAAATGTATTATCAAATTGACCAATATATTATTCATATAAATAATTCTAATTCCAAATTTAAAAAAAAACAAACAAATTATCATTATTCTATCAAAACAAAGAGAGAAAAAAAATCACACAGCAACAAAAGTGGCTAAATCAAAGATCTGATACTGAGTATAAATAATGAACACAAGAACAAAAAACAAAACAATCTAGTTAAACAAGTTGTTTATTTCCAAACCAAAATGAGCTAACAAGACTTTTTATTTGAGCACCATAACTCTAAAATAAATATTTATCAACAACCAACTTATTCTCATACAAATTAAACTAACTTTTGTTGTTTCCACTTG